TCGAAGAACTGTTAGGTATGTTGACCACGGCAATCTTCTGACACCACCACGCTCGCCATCGGATTTATCCGCATACCCTTGAACCTAAACGGTTATGTTTAGAACAAATTAAGATGCGTTTCCTCAAATAAATGGACTACAACATGATACCTACTCTGCAAAAATGGTGAGAAAAACGCAGTAGGTAAGTACACAAGTACGTGTCTAGTATTTTGAGCGCCCTTAGGCAAGAGGGATGGCCTAGTGTATCTGCTTTACATTCACATTATTTTCACAATAATATCATGTCACAAGAAACCTGCAGGTTTTATATACACGCTTGTAGTCACACGAGTTGTATTACAAATAGTAATTTGTGCAATAATAAGTTAATCATACCTGTTCCAGAAATTTTTCGGCCTCCGAATGTTTCGATTATTGATTCTGTGAATTCTTTTTTTGACATTTTCTTGTCTGTATTTGCATTGTATATTATCCATGCGTTTATGAGTGCAGTACCAAATAAAAATTCCATCATCACTTTCCGATACCACTTTAGACCTCGTCGTAAAGTAGTATAGTATGCCGACATTTGATCTGAGTAGTCTATCCCTTTTTTATTATCATTATAAGTTAAAATGCACATTGGCTTTCTGATCATTTCATTAGTTCTCTTATGTATCTTACCTGTATCTACTAGAGACGCTTTATGTGCTTTACAGGAAGTTATCATTGAAACTTGGCGCTTATCGTGCCATTTAATAACTTTCACACCACTAGGCAGCATTAACCCTTCAACTTCGCCTTTTTTCAATTTTTTAGACATAAATTGCTTGGGAAATCCTCTTCGGTTTGATCTTAGCGTGCCACAGTAAAATGTTTTCTTTTCTAAGAGTTCCTCTACTAAATCAAGAGAAGAATAAAAGTTTTCGGCTACTAAAACTCGTCCTTCATTTTCTAGACCCTCTATGAGCTTCATAACTACATTTTTTCCATGGTTCACTTCTCTGCTATTTCCTTCTTTACCTGTATATACTATGGTTTTAAAAGTGTACCCCTCAGGAGTACATAGTTTATATAATTTAACTCCATATTTATGCGATTTATTTTTGATATATTGGCGAAAAATAAGTCTACCGCGCCAGGGAATCATTGATTCGTCTATCACGATAAATTTTCCTGGAGTTAAAATATGTCTAAAACGATTATTTAACATATTAAGTATTTGTCGAATTTTGTAGAATCTATCTTCAGTATCATTTCTTTCATCGCTGAAATGCCAAAACTTTAGAAGCAAGATAAATCTATCTCTTCCCATGAGAGAGCATATATATTCATTTCTGTAAATGGATTTCTTTGACCAATAATCGTGAAAATGTGGCACCTTATTTAAGCCCATCGTAAGTATGACACTGAAAAACTGACGCATTTCATTTGCATCTGTAGGTTTCCAAGCTTTAGAGCGTGATTTTGCTGTAATTTCTTTTTCTAATAAATATTTATCTGCGTATTTATTAGTTTCTTCTACTATTTTATCAATAATATCGTCAGTTAGAAACAAACTATAAATATCGACGGGCAATTTATTACGAATAGGTACATTTGTCACGCTATCAAGTATGCTCTCATCGAAGCTCAATACGTCATTGTCGGGAATGTCAATCCAATCTTTATCACCCTCAAGCTCTCCACCCTCACTTTCTGATATATTTTCAGACATATTATCTTCATCTTCACTTATTATATCAGATGAGAGATTTTCACCTGTATCATCATCACTTCCATTTGAAACGATTTCTTCTATTTCAGTATTGGTTGCTTCATCAGTCTGCGTCTCCGAAGCGTCTTCTTGTATTTTTTCGTTTTCTACGTCCTGATCTAGTTCTTCCACTTTTTCATTCTGTATTTCTAGACTTCTATTTTGCTTATTCTGGTCTTTTTCTTGTCCTATTATATTATTTTCTTGTTGCTTTTCAGTGTTTCTCTCTTCTAAATGTTTTTGTGAATTATTGTTCAAGTTGCATTTAGACGTTTTTCTTTCTGCTTTTTCGTCATAAGTGAGCGCATCATCCTCAAAAGTGTATTCAAAAGAAAATGGACTATTGTTTGTATTACCTGTGGTTCTTCTTTCCTTTATAGTTGTTTTAATCAATTTTTGCATACTGCTTTTATTAAATTCTAAAGGTAATAAGTTCGAACATGAAATATTATTCAAAGACTTTACTTGATTACTTGATGTGCATAAAGCATTCAATGAGGCAGGAGAAGCTTCAGCATTTGTGTTGGATGTTTCTGTTAGCATTTGAGTGCACGAGCTAGGAGTAGATAAACCACTATGGTTAGAGAAACAGTACCACAAAATCTACGAGTAGGTGTCATAGGATCAGTAGGTATAGTCGGTGTAGTATTCGTCATCAATAATGTGGTATTATTGTTACTACTTTTTGGACTGGATATCGTATTCTGAAGCACACTTAATCGTTTTCCAGTACATGGGCTGATATATATATTATTTTCATTACTTAGCTGCGTGTGCTCCAACGTAGAAAGGTTCATCATTTTCTTTTTAGGTGCGTCAAATATTTCATAATCAGAATCACTGTCATTATTAGCCAATGGAGGGCAAATTTGAACATTTTCCAAAATTTTTATTTTACTGGACGATGCAGCAGTATAATCCGGCGTTGATTTTTTGTTGGAAATCTCACCAAAATAAAGAGATTTTTTACACTTTTTTCTTTTAAAAGCACTCATTGTATAACAAAAATAATAATCAACACGTAGGTATATACGCGAGTGTTATTTTGCAAACGTGCGCGCGACCTCCCACATCGATGCTAGGACAACACTAAAACGAGTCACCTTCCCTCTCTTGCGTCTACGAGGCGTACGATTCCACGAGTACCGACATATCTCCTAACGCAAGGAATGAAAATAATTACAGTACTGTGCGTTAGGGACCTAATCCATCTCTAATTTCTTTTTTAATGTCCTTGAATTCACCTTTAGTAGGAAGCAAATATGTATATTTGTCCTACTCATACCTAAAGAACTTTACACGTTAGATCCTCCCGCAAGGAGTGAAACAACACTATTATATTCAACGCACAATACAAAAGTCCTGCAAGAGATCTGATAGATCTCGTAATGCAACGAACGTGTTAATGATAAGAGACATGATAATTACTGGCCGTAAAGTATATTACATTGATTGATATATTAAAAAGTTACCGCGTCTATTGTGTTTTATAAGAAGGTCAATAATAAGTATTTCGTTTACGCGCCGCAATCGAGTTTATCAATGAACTTTGTTGCGGTCCAGTAAGCTGTTATGGCACAATTTGTTTGCATTGATTCATTTGTCAACGCTAATTGTAACTTCACGGTGCGTAGCTACAGACTTTAGATATTAATCCGCCTTCATTTAGAGGACAGATTAAATTGCCTAATTCTCTTTTCCTCAGATAAAAAATAATAACCTAAATTTTTACTAATTCAGTTTTGAATGCGTTTGTTCTCGTATTTATTTATTATAGCTGTCGCCCGCGAATGCGTCCACGCGTTATTAAGAAAAAACTTAATTAGTAGCCTATCTGTTCTTCTAGACTATGTTCTATATCAATGTCAAATTTCAGCAAGATCTATACAGTCGTTCTACAGACAACCTTCAAACAAACATTCATCGATCCATCCAAACATTTGCATTTATAATATTAGTAAGAAGTAAGGTTAATATAAGTTTAGATTAGAAATCAAACTTACTAAAATAAACAAATGTTACAAATATGTTATGCTACAAAAACAAAGCAATTTCAATGAACCTCAAGTTCGGACAAGCTATTTAACGCGTAACATTTTCAAAGTCGTTTGCCAGCTATGGTTGTGTTGTAGTTAAAAAAAGCGTGTCAAGTGCATGTCGTATCATTTTGACAGTTTCATCTAAAATTCAAGAGCAATTGACAATTACTTGTGCTGTATATGTACAATTTTTTTATCACATTAAATTGTTAACTTTTTCAATGTTTTTCCCCATCCTTAGCTATTATTTCTGCCGCATTATATTATACTGCAAATTACACTTAAAATACAAAAAGTGTAAATACTCGTATATTATCAAATTTTCATGGCAAATATTAAAGTTTAATTCCTGTTTCTCATGATATGCGCGAAAGTTAACGGTTTTACTATTTTATATCACAACAATAGGAACATTTCTCGTAACTAAGGAACCGCTTTTGATTTTATACACAATTTACTTGAAGAGATCACTTAGCGATTCTGTGAGCGTTAGTTAATCCTCTTATAATAGTTTTATATAACAAGATAAATCACATTGTGCCGCGAATACTTCTCGTGGTACGGAATAAAACAATGCACAGATCAACCTCACTTAGTATCAATTGCACAGGAAATTATATAAGTACTTAATAACGCCTCATCCTCAACCCATAAAATATATACGCAAACATATGTAAGAAAATAGATAATAATTATTATTATTAGAAATTACTTCAATTGATAATCCAACAAATTAAAAAAAAGAATACAATTAATAAAATACTATTAATAAAAGGTGCTACCGTACTATTTGAAGTGGAATGCAATGCCTTAACAAAATAGAGACGAATAAAGCTACTCATGTTTACAACATGTTAAAGATATTTTAGTTTAAAATTTTATCTTGGGATGTTTTCAGTTTTCCACTATTTAATGTAAACTATAACTATAAGAATTTGGCCGAAGACCGTGGCCGTGGTCGGAGCAAATTCAATATTAAATTTTTCGAAATCAGAACGTTCACCCTTAACTTTAGAAAACTACCCTTAAGTAACGTAAGTTAAATTGTAATTAACTAGGATATCAGAGCCTATTATAAGGTATCATTTAATGATATAGAACATCTTCTCGTTTTGATACCTTTTGACAACTTTCTACTGCTTTACTTTACTTTGGTATGTCGTATGTGTGACGAAATGTCTCACTTTATCCTAAGGTTTTCCCGCCTTATTAATACATTTCACATTTATAAATTGCATCGATACACTTCTTACAAATAATTTGTCATAAAAAGTCATGCGAGCCAGATAAAAGTCACGATTTCTTGTTTTTGTTCATTATTAAATATGAGATTGAACAGCCATGACTTGTCATATGTTTTTTCGACCTGTGATTTTTTCTATTCGACGTTGTAAAGAATGCAAATAATGGATATCTATTAATGACGTTTTTAGTTGAAACTCAAAATTGTCATCAGATTTCTATTATAACAAAATTAAGAACCTGTTCAATAAATAAATGCTTTATTGTAAATCTCACTTACACAATTGTGTGGCAGCCATGGCTCTTTAACCTAGGACTGAGCCCTGTGTTTAATAGGCCAATCCAGGTCCAATGGAGCGCAAGCCAATAGGATTTTTTTACTTCCATAGAGTCAAAGAGAAAACTGGTCAAAAATAGTCCAGAAAACGTATGTGCTTATCGTAAAAGTGGCAATATTTAGAGTATGTTATTTTAACTGACTTTTTTGTCCAATTTAAATTATTATCTGCTTTAATCATTTCTTCCTTGCTTGTTTCAGCATTTCACTACGCGAACAGCGAAGATTTTGGCTACGATGGAGTTATAGGTATGTTTTTTTTTTACATATTTCTATTAGCAGACGCTATACAATCATCCCATAACTGTGATAGAGCCAGGAACAATTTAGATAGTACAGTTAGTTGGACGTTGGAATTTCTGTGCTATGTGAAATCGAAATTATATAGATTACTAGCTGTCGCCCGCGACTCCGTCCGCGAGGGATTTAAAATAGATGTTGGCCGATTCTCAGACCTACTCAATATGTTCATAAAATTTCATGAGAATCGGTGAAGCCGTTCCGGAGGAGTATGGGAACGTAAATTGTGACACGAGAATTTTATATATAAGATAGATGGTAAATTTCCTATGGTTATCTAAATTTGCACTAGGCAAAAATGTTTATAAAATTGTAATTATAACATTGGAATAAAAGCGAGAATCTTTACCTTTGTATTGTATGATGATTGTTACGTATGTCACACAATTATCTATATTTACACGAACTTTAATAGCGAACAATTAGTTGAAGTTGATATAATTTTCCATGACTAAAATATTAATACGTAACACAAAATTGCTGTACCTTTGTGTTCGTAGAATAATTACGCGACCATATAATTTTCTTATTGTATAAACGAGGTTAAAGTAGTCCATGTCGCTTTAAAAATTAGGTAGTCATATAAATATAACTTATTTTTTCTTTATAATTAATTATTGCTGTTCTGTGTAGAATTATTTAGTATTTGGGGTCGGCTGGATGGATGTCTGTTTGAAGCTATCTCCAAAATGACTTAACGGAACTCGCTGAAATTTGGGTTGTAGAACATAGTCTGACATAACACATAGGCTACTTATTAATTTTTATTTTTAATTCCCCGCGGAGGAAATCGCGGGCGACAGCCAGTATTGCATTAAAATTTACGATTTACATACATGTTTTTTTCGAAACAAAAAAAAGGCTATATATCTTCAATACTACACATAACTTTATGTATGTTGTTGGTTAGTGTCAATAGCGGTAATCGCTATGTCAAAAGTCCTTCAAAAATCGATGACGTTGGGAACATTGCTATGGCTTATTGTAATACAATATCTTTTGTCTTCCTTTGCCTTAGTTTATTAAAGTAGGAAGGAAGTTAATACACAATAGCACTCTACATTACCTGAACTTCCTTGTCTGTTACTATATGTGTTTGATAAAACTAAACAAGGCTAAATATAGACTAGAAGAGATGATACAATAGCTGCATGTCACAGGTGCCAAATGTGTGATACATGGCACAGTACCAACACGTTGTTAGACTACACTAGAAAAAAATGATAGCGCTATAAGTTTGATTCTGGCGCCAACATTTCATTGCGATTTATTCAATTTATTTGTCAACAAGTAACAATTCTCGGAGTTGGACTTGGTGATTTCAGTCGTTTATGCTACTAGAAATTTTTATTTAAAATAAGCAAAAAAAAAAGAAAAATTACAATATATATAAAAGTGTTTAGATTAGAGTGTTAAATATATGTTTCCAGCCTGGCATGCGTAAATACTTCGCTTCGATTTGGATTTGAACCTTTAAGGATCGGGACCATATTGAAATTCAATAGGATACATAAAATAATAAAGATAGCAGTAAATTGAACAGGTGCATGATTAAAACTATCGGTCTCATAGTTTCAATAAAACTTGTAAAACAACCTTTAAGTCAGTTCTCAATTACATGGACAAGATTAAAGCAATATTATATGTACAGGCAGCAATCAGTATCACAAGCTATCATTTGCTTCCTTCATTTACGTCAATTTGTAAGCTGGGGCGACGAGTTACCAGATGTTAGCTCCCTACACTATAGCGACCTAAATAAACTAAACTTTCCACTTTCTCTTTGTTGCAAATGTATCGCTATACTGAACCAATTATGAAAATAATTGTAGTCAACATACACTGATACGGACAGGAAAAAATTCCAAAGACTAGTAAAAACATTTTTTATTTACTGCTATTTTACAATTGTACTAGAACAACATAGCCTTGTGTGTTTAAAATAAAGTAGAAATAATAGAAATTATGCATCAAGATGATACTAATTCGTTTGAGCTCTTAAAGGTCCAGTGCACTGGGGTGAACGGTACCAGGAGTGCAGAGGCAAGCACCAGAGTCCTATCGACATCAATGTGCTGCGCGTCAAGCAAGTCGCTCTGCCGGACATTACCTTCATTGGCTTCGACGACTCTATCGACGATGTACACGTCACTAACAATGGACATACCGGTCAGTATAGGAAAAGGTCACATAAACTAAACTATACCTTCCCAACACAAAGGTTAGCCTCTAGTGAGACGGTGATCAGGGTGGTGCAAAAATATATTATTTATGTTTTTAAGAGAATAGAGATTACAATATGTTTAATTACGTTTCGAAAGTAGAAAGCTACAGTAAAGGTCTAAATTAAAATTCACTGATTATAATTTTCATGTGACAAGGTCTAAAATATCTTGATTTAAGTTGTTATTTTTCACGTTGTCAGTGTTAATCGAAGTGGAGAATGAACCGCACCCACGTGTCAGTGGCGGTCCTCTCGACGGTGACTACATCTTCAGCCAGATGCATTTCCACTGGGGCGATAACGATACATTCGGTTCTGAAGACAAAATAAATCATAGAAGGTAATTTTATTTATGAGTCAAATACAACTATATTTATATATAATTATATTTATAGTCTTGGAGAATATTCAAGACTAAACTGAACGCACAGTACCATAACCTAAAATGAAGATTTCTTCTTATTATCCTGACGGAGGTACTTGAAAGGCGACGAAGGGCGTGACTATCCTAGAGCTTTTTTAACTTATTCTTTCCAAATATCCGAACATTGCCTTAATTTCCACAAAAAATATTTGAATGTTTTACAATCTAAGTTTCGCGACGGATAGTAAAAACTTGTTTTAAATATATAAATGCATTCAAGCATGGGATTTCTTTTAAGTTTTTTATATAGACTTTAAATGTGAACGTGATGGATATTTTTACTATTTTCGGCACAACAAAAGCATTTGTCATCCCATCGTATTGAAATATATTTGTTATTTTTGGACACCAAAATTGTAACAGTATTGTAATTTCATTAAGTCAACTGTTGATCTATACATTTCACTCGTCCGGCAACGTCTTGTCGTGGCCCCTCCACCGCGTTTACGCATTCACTGCGAGTGTTTGCTGCGGAAGGGCGCTGATATATAGGTCAAATGAACGATAACCTTACCTTCAAATAAATGAGATTAACGTAAATCTTAAAATAATTTCCAGTTTCCCTATGGAGCTTCATATGGTTTTCTTCAAAGAGGAATACAAAACTCCCCACGATGCGGTGCGACATTCGGACGGCCTCGCGGTGCTCGCCTTCTTTTATGAGGTAACCATTATATTGTAATTACAGCTGTAACTAACGAAGCTTAGACGAACAGCTCTATGCTTCATGAATAATTTAGTTTTTGCTAATGATGTTTTGTGTTAAAATTTAAAATATCTTTTTTTATTGTTATGTGGTATAAAGATTATTTTTAGTTCGTTACATGTTATGCAATTCGTTCTACTAAAATCTTACCTGCACGATTTATTTGTAATGTAATGTTTTCTTTATTTGAGACATGTTTGGCAAAAAAAATCTTCCGTCGCACATTTTTGTATGTGATTTACTTTTTATGTATGTAAATGCCCTTATACGGTATAAAGGTTAATTGAAGCAGTTTTTATATTGTCGTTGCATTTCGTCAGATGACACCAATGATGTGTATAATAGTTATTCACTTTCCCGCCATCTTGCAAAACATATGGCACGCCGAGCTGTTGTTTTTGCTTTAAGCTTAAATTACCTGCGCAATGCACATTACCGATAAACGCAACTTAATTATGCTTACGGAAGTTTCCTTTCGTTTTAACGATACATAGGGATAGTTTATGGAAAAGTTGTTGGATTTGCAAAAACTAAAATGGTTATATTGTAAAAGTTTTATTCAACGATAAAGATTTGGCCAGTATCTAAGCATCTCATTTATTTTTCATAACATAGATAAAAAAACTATTGGAAACCTTACTAGTTTGGATAGCACCTATCGTAGTTGAAATTCTACCATCTCTGCGAAACCTATATTAGAATCTAGGTATTTAATAAGCGCAATTTTTATTTCAGTTAGATCGTCATCAACACCCAGCCTACGATGACATAACATCAGCGTTATCAAACGTCACAGAACCTCATACGAGTGTGGTAATGAACCATCCCTTCTCGTTCCTCAACATACTGCCTTACGATTTGAACCGCTACTTCACGTACAGAGGATCTCTGACTACCCCACCTTGTTCCGAAGTCGTCATATGGCTTGACTTTGAGCAGCCCGTGAGGTTGGCTCATGACCAGGTAATAAACAATTTTTTATATGATTTAAAAAATCTACAAAAAAGCTTTCTGTCCGTTGATATAATGAGAATTTTTTACCAATAAGGTAGAAAAGAGATATCTGTGAGTGGATATACCGCAGTTGGAGAGAGGATAAACTGAAAAAGCACACTGAAAAGTTTAGGTTTACTAGGTTCTAGTCTATACAGTACACAAAAAGTAATTAAATTGTTATAAATTTCAGATAGAAGTATTCAGGGAGCTGCGATCAGCAACTGGGAAAATTCGACACAATTTCCGTCCTATACAACCGATAGGCGATCGCGTTGTTTTTTACAACATAGATAATAAATATTTCAGTTACAATGAAGTAGACGATCCCGATGAAGATATTCCAAAAAGAAAAATAGGCCACAGTAACAGTTATGGATTAGTTAGCAGCGTATATACTATACTTAGTTTAATTATAATTACTGTAAGTTTATTTTAAGGTAGATAATAAAAACCGATAGTACTTATAACGTTACTGCTAATAAGAATTTTTTTAATCGAATAACCTTCTTGTTACGGAATTAGTTAATTTTATAAAAAAAAAATTGTGTGATGTAACCTGTGATATTATGTACATTTGAAAATAGACATTAGAATTGTAGAAATTTATATAAAACGTATCATAATAATGTAAAGATCAGTACAAAATACCTAAATAAAGTTATTAAATACAAATAAAAAAAAGAATCTTGACTGTTGACATGGTACAATGAAAATCAAACTGAAAGGTTACCGTTTCATTTTTGTAATGGCAGTAAAAAAAGAAATCTTTTGTCAATATTGCCTGATTGAAGATGCGATTTAATACAGGGATATATGAATTAAAACTAATTTTGTAAACCTTAAAATTATTATATTATGTAAAAAATAATCTGTAATTTGTGTTTCATTCATTACTGTACAAGAAATACAATGATTGTTCAGTCCACATACATTTCTATCATACAATCATATTAATACATACATCTATTAAAAAATTTACTCTCAAGAAAATTGTAGAGATTATAAAATTTTACTTTTCAATTCATACACTTATATTGTTTAAGATTTATACTTAGTTACTGTAGTTTATAATTTTTATTTATTTACAAAAATCCTAATAAAAATTAACATTGTAATTGGTGTTTTATTAAGTAACCGTAAATTTTTAAAACAATAACACAAAATTTCTGTTTTTTTTAATTTCAAATGCATACATTAGTTGAAAACACATCTATATAAAATCTTATGTTATACATTCTAACATTAAAAATGGAAATGTATAGATTGATTAATGTATGGATGTGTGTTTGTAAGAAAAATTAATCATCATCAGGTACTTTATCAGTCATAGTAATCATGGCTCCTAAATTATCATCTGCACCTTCTTTTAGTCTCTCCCAAATTAGTTCAGCTATTGCCTTTTGAGTTCTTCTCTCCAGTTTTTCTAATTTTTTTGCCACATCCCGCTTCAAATCCCAATCGGGTTTCCGTGGGGCTAAACTTGATATATCTAGGTCTTGTAATACAACCTGTAATATAGAAAAGTACCGTGTTAACCTCATCATCATTACTATACCATCCCCACTGAGGGGCTCGGAGCCTAACCTAAATTGGGGGTGACTAGGCCATAGTCAACCATGCTGGCCCAGTGCAGGTTGTGTTAACTTTATTATGTGAAATTTTTTTATATATTTTAAATACATAACCATCTCACAATGTAACATTACATTATTGTTTTCTTCATTATGAAATGTTGAGATGTGCGTGCAAAGGTTTTATTAAACTAACCCACTTTTTTTTTTAGAATTTTTTAGGATACAAGCATTATTTTTTTTGTCATTAAAGATAGCTATTATAAATTTGGTTTAATATTTGCACTGGTAATAAAACAAATTAACCATGTTTACCTTTTCTTTTCCCGCTTCAAGCAAATCTTTTACTTCATTATCAACCACAGCTGGTTGTGCATCATCCAGCTTAGCTTCCTGTAATGTTTCATCTTGTGGCCTGTAACTCCTGAATTTGGGCCTGAAAATTTTAAACAACAAAAATTAACTCTAACATTGCAACTGGAATAACTATATTGTAACAATAGTGACAAATTCTCTTGGTCCGGTAACACTTTAAGCCTGTCTCGTAGTTTTGCTGTATTTTGTTTATCAAGTGATATATTATTTATAACAATGACATAAGTGATTCCTACGCTACGAAATATTCATAATAATATTTAGAGGTTAACTTACTTTGGAAGTACAACTGCTTCATTATTTAAAGTATTTGTTGATGAGTTCTCGTCGGAAGGATGTTTTCGTTTCAAATTCTTTAATCTTTCTTTTCTCTTCAATGCTTGTTCTTCTAAACTACCAACATTTTCCATCGTATCTAGAATAACCATAATACGTTTCAGGGGTAATTCGGATTCCCCTTGAATTTATTTTTATAAGTCTTTTGTAATCAATTCTTTATTAGTTCAATATTTTTCCTAAATACTTCTATTTTTTTGTCTCTTGCGGTTTTCTTAGACTTTCTCCCGCTCGCAACAAGCTCGCACAACAAAACGCAACCCAAAGAGTTTATGAAATAAGAGACCCGTCTCTTGACTAATTAGATACACAAACGGAGAATAAAAATTGACATTTTCAATGCTAGCAATATTATGAACAAGTCTACGTTGCTACCAACCTAAAAAAATCTATGTCAGTTTCCTTTTTGACGTTTGAAAGTATTATTTGAGGGAAAACAATTTCGTTAATTGCAACTTTAATTTAATCTTCCGACTAAAGCGAACATATTTTAAGAACGCAACATAATGCTCATTGCTTACGTAATAATACCATTATTGTTTAGTTCACCAACAAAATACCCCAACTATAATAAATGCTTATTTGTTCCAGTTTGTTTATTTGATAGCTCATATTTTCTGATAGAACTGGAGTAGTAGTGCCACTCTCGTCGGGAGAAATAGAATAGCACTGGAAAGAGATTAGCTCCTATCTGTTGGTAAAATATTTAGAAAATTGCTAACAAGACAATATGCATTGAAGCAAAACAAATCGTCATCATCAAGCTCACTATACGGACACACTATATTCCACTGAGGAGCTCGGAGCCTACCCTCAAGAATGCGACTAAGTTTTATTCAACAACGCAGAGCCAGTAAGGGTTGGTTGACTTCACACATATCTTTGAATTTCTATGCAGTTGTATGCGACTTGTAATTACAGTAAGAATGTCGGATGGATGTTATCATGAAATTCGAAAAACGCATTACTATATAGCGGAGATCGTACCTGGATATGTAAAATATGATCCGGTCAAGCGCCAACTGCACTGCCGACGCTCCAAATAGTCCCCTAATCCAAACTTTTCCTATCAAAACATTGCAAATGTAAAAGTCATGTTAAATATAATGTAATGTAAAAATAGAATACAATATTTAAGTTTTACTTCTTAAATAAATTCATAAAATTATCATGAACCTAAAGATTCCGCATATTAACTCTTGTTATTACTATTCTCCATAGATGTGTAACCTATAGATTCCTTAACGAGGAAAAGTAATGAGCTTAGGAGGCATCATTTTGGGGTAAAGTACCTGTGTTGAAATTGAAATTACTTATAAGAAAATTGTATACAATCTCTGTTTATTTTTTATTACTTAGTTCAAAAAAGGTTTAGGTTTTATTATAAGTTGTTATATTTGTAACATCCAAATTTAATAAATTAATTTTGTTTCATATTTTTCACTAAATGGTATTTTTTTTTATCTTTTGTACTTGATACTTAATTCCCTATATTTAATTATATTTTTATTTTCTATACACTGCATCTCCCAATTTCGAGAAAATCTTGTTATGCTAGTGTATATTTTATATTAAAGTCTAATACATATTATTAACATCAAACTAATATAAAACACTAAATCTATAGGTTACACATCTATATATCAATATTGACATTAATATAGTTACTAGCATTTCCTGCAACATGGTGACTCTTTTTTAGATTTGCGGTTAAACTACTCCATATAATAAGTTGTTTTTCAAATTTAGTTTAGAATTACAATTATCAAACAATCAAACTTTGTAGCACAGATGTTGCAGCGACATGCAGTCAGTAATTCTGAAGCAGATTCCTTCATTTAATAATTCTGTAGAACTTGAAGAGGTGCATTCATTCATCTGCAACAGAATGAAATGGTAATTAATTAATTCAAGTGTACAACATAATCAATTTAAATATTGCTTTTCACCTAATTACATACCTTATTAAAAAAAGTGGTTTCTTTGATTATATGGATCTCTTCCCCTTTACTTACAAAACTTCTTTGCAATTCTCTACAATGATGGAACGCACAAACCATATAAAAAAAATTATAATTAGTTTTTACAGGTACAGATAGGAACTTTTATTGCCTGCCCATTTTTGTGAAATGTCTATGATAGAATCATAAATCAAATTAGTTTGAAAAACTTGTTGTGTCA